TCTTTAGTTTGTTTTATAAAATATATGCCTTTTATTGATTTCAGAGAGGAAGAGAGAGAGAAAGATAGAAACATCAATGATGAGAGAGAATCATTGACTGGCGGCCTCCTGCACGCCCCCCCACTGGGGATCAAGCCTGCAATCCAGGCAAGTGCTCTGACAGGGAATCAAACCATGACCTCCTGGTTTATAGGTTGACGCTCAACCACTGAGCCTGCTGGCTGGCCTCTCGTTTTTCTCGAGTATTGGTCACTCCAGTGTATTCTCTTCCTAGTGCTGGCAGCGTTTTATCTGGTACACCATCAGGAAACAAACATTTGTTATACCAATTTTTAAATGTTCCTGTTAATCTCTCTTGTGGAGGAGACTATTTTATAAAGTGACCACTGCAGGACCTTGGGGATGGATCCTAGCCGGAACCAAGATTGCTTCCCATACAGCCCGAGCCTGACTGGGAACCCTCCCCTCTACGCCCATGCTGGTTTCTGGAGCAGGCCTTTGCCCAGATCTCAGCAAGCCTGTCTGGTATTTCCCCTTATCTGAGCTGCATCAAGCACCAGCACCCTATCTATCTTGCCTATCCTGTAGAATTCTTTAGTGTCTGCCATATGCCTTGTATGTAAGTCCCCAGGTTAGATGTCACGTGGGATCCTTAGCCAGCTCCCACACCGAGGACGACCTGGGACAAGCGGGGGCATTTGAGAGCTATTTTCATCCATGGCTTTCCCTTTTGGGTCCTGTTACCAAACAACAACAACAAAAGTCAAGTTCACCCCCAATATCCCACTGATAATGTTCTATTTCTTAAGCAGAATGGTGGTTTTAGGTGTTCATTTTATTATGCTTTATAATTTATATACAGGTTACATATATTCATTTTAAAGGCTTTGATACAATAAATAAAAAAGGAAAGCACACATATACAAATAAGAATGCCATTATTCTGGGGATGACCTTGAATTTGCTTAAATTTTTATTTAAATTAGCCTGTTCATAAACCTCAATACTGTAATAATTATTTAGTCAACAAACATTTACAATGCACCTCATACTTGTCTTGATGCTAGGGTTAGAAATTACTCTCTTAAATTATTCAGAAAGTAGTAATGCCTTATGATGAAATATTTTACACGTTTCAATAATTCTATCGTAACTATAGTTATTTACGTTATAAATAATTATAGTTATAATCTCATGCTTGCAGTTTACGTGTGATAGGCTACTTTTGTCATCTTTTCTCTGGAACTTAAAGCTTTCAGTGAGCGGAAGAAATTTCTCCCCGAATATACTACATATAAATGATTAGCTGCTACTTGAAGTAGTATCTGAGAGATGTCCAACTTCCCACTCAGTTGGATGAGCTAAAACCTGATCTTAAAAATGATGCTTGGGTACAGCCTACCTATTGTATGTCAACCCCAAGACTGGCAACTAGCTGTGCCTCCACCGCTTCCTCAGTAATGGGTTCTGGCATGTTCATTTGGCCAATGACAATACAGAGTAAAGACAATTTTCCATCCCTCTTTGTAGCTAGGAATCAAGTGATTAAGTTTGTGTTGATAAGCCTATGTGGTGTGAATAATTTATAAGAGGTGTTCTTAAAGGGGGCAGAAATGCTGATAAGACATTTCCAGCTGCTCCCACTCTGCAGCCCTGACAGGACAGCCACGTGTCAAGGACAGGGAGGGGCAGCAGAGGGACCGTGCGTCCCTGACCCTGCAGCGTCACGTAGCGCTGGGCTGGCTGCCTTTCCACGCGAGAGAAATAAACCATCTTATTTAAGTTGTTCTTGTTGGGGGGACATGGCCACACTCACACACAATGCCAAAGGGGAATCAACTTCTTAGCCTAAAAGGTTGACACCATTGGTATAACTCACCTCGCGGCAGTTACTTCTCTTGCTAATGTGCGGTAAGATAGAAGCTGTTTCCCAGTGCCATGAACAGGGGACATTCTAAGAGATGCTTAACTCCAAATATTTGACTGGTAAAGCCTACAGGTGCACCTATGGTTTTAGACAGAAACATCCAGAACATCAAAAAGTAATTGATTTTATAATAGCTTAAGATGCAAAATGACTGAGAAGTCCCTCCCCATAAGAGATCTAGAATGAGCAAGTTAAACAAAACAAAAATGGCTTTATTTACAATACTCAATGCATTTTACAAATAACACATTTGCATTCCCTAAGTCTTTTGGAAAGTAATTCCAGTTTGTGCAGTGAGTTTACAGGAAAGACTTAAGACATCTATTAGACATCTTAAACCTAATTCCTAAGTTTTGAAAGACCTTATATTAACAGACGACTGTTTTTAATAAAGAAAAACTAAACTCTGTAGTTAAATATTGCCCTTCAATATTTTTTAACCAAATACAAACTGAATTAGTCTATGAAGTAATACCATTAGATTTGAATGTATTATTTTCACTGTCCCCTCCCCACCCCCCCAACAGAACGCATGCACAAACATGGTAAATTACATTGGCGTTTTATTTTAATACTTTTTGGACTCTCTCAACTGTTTCACTCAGTCCAGAGTATAGTTAGATGAGGTTTCCACCTGGGGAAACCCTAAACCACTACTCCCCAGTCCAGAACAGGGAGGAATTTTCAGTGTACGGAGACAGAAGGGATTAGGACGATTTTAAAGTAGTTGCTACAGGAGCCTTAATTGCTCCTCAGAACAGGTGCCCTCCAGGCCTGAAGACCAAAGGAATCAGTCATCTTCCTACGGACAGTTTGGGGAGCCACTAATCCGAGCCCCAGGGAGCAATGGGCTCCTCTCTCCCCCTCCTCCCTGAATCACTACTTGATCGTATGCCTTTTGAGTCGATGATGGGAACAGCTCCTGTGTTCAGATTCCAGAAACTCCTTTCATGTACAGAAAACCTCTGGGACAGTCAGGAGCAAGCAACACTACTGCTGTAATCCGGCAGGAGTTTGCACCTCATGCATGTGAACGAGAATGAACGTGCTGTTCCAGCGCCACAATTCATTTCTCCTTAAGACAGTGTCTTTACCACCTGGCATAAATGGTTGACTGGGTGATACTAAACTGAGAAACAAAGTTCAACACTTGACATAGCCAACAAAATTCTAGGATAAAGAAATGGTGAGGTAGAGTTGAGAGAGTTTAATTTTTTTAAGCACACATCTTTTGGCACATCCTAAAATTAGACTCCCTACTGAATTCTCCTTTGTCAGATCTTTACAAAGTGCCGGCAACACATGAATCCTTGAATCTACTTAGGAATCATCTATGTGAGAAGCTAACAGACTAGTCATTTGAAGGAATCCATTCCTCGCATGTTAGCATATTTATCCCAATATTGAAGCAAATAAAAACAATGCTATCCATTTGCTGAATTTATTTAAAACAAGTCAATTTAGAAATATCATAAACAAAACTTCTGACATGTAAACATACTGCCGTGTTCCTGAAACAGATGTTAACACCCGATGAGAGTTAATAATCGCATGTGAGGAAAGCTGTCCACTAATAAGGCCAGTCTTCAGCAAAACTAAAACCATTTTGTATCTTTAGCTTTCCTGAATTGACAATGCAATACTATCAAATCACAATCAAAGAGAATAAAGACAACGCTGGATGGACAGATCAGTACCATTGGTTACAGCTAAACAGTTTCATTCTTGGCGCCACATAAAAACAATTAAGCCAATCACATCAAATCATGGCTTTTTTCTTTATCACAATTCACTAAGTGATGTTAATTATGGTCCTTGTCAAACACGTTTGGTAAAGGCTATTTACAGTGTACATGGCTGAGCATGCACTATTTATAGTTACAAAGATACCTGCCAGTTTATCACAATAGAATTACACAGTGCCTGAAATGGTGAAACAGCTCCCACAGCATTTAAATTAATAGTTTCAAGCAGGAAACATTCCTTATTTGACCATGATTGCAATAATTACAAGAAAATTCTTATAAAAACACGAATCCCCTTCAAGAAATTGATGCATATTCTACGCACTACAGGTTAAGGCAGTAAAAAATGTATTCCTGATAACTGGAGGTCTTGACAATGTCAATTAAAGCTGTCTGACTCTAGGTTTCCATTCTCCATCATATACTCAAAGTTCTGTCTGTAGAACTAGTTTGTGAAAGATTTCATTTTTATAGTCAAAAAGTGTTAGTAATGAAGAGATGACACTGGAAAAAATTGCTAGGGAAAGGAAAAATAAGTTACATTTTGTTTGAAAGTTTTCAAATCATAAACAAGAGCATTATTTGTGAGTCTCATCTTTGAAAGTATAAAACAAAGACATATAGTTTACCATTCTTAATTTAAAATATATTGTACTTTGAACAATTCAAGTAATGTAAGACTATCAAAAATAAGTTCATAAGCCATAAGTGTCAACTGCATTTTCAATGTTTTAATTAAGAACTTTTTAAAAATTATAAACTAAACCATGACAGTTTAGTTAAATAAATGATGACTTTTTATTTGCACTTGTGATTCCTTTAATACAAATTGCTACCAACAAATATGTAAAGATATGGCAGATTATGCATTTGATCAAAGCACTTTGATTTAAGCATAAAACAGATTCAAATGGTATAAGTTCCGTGCATAAGGTCCGAGAAGTTGCCTACGAATTTGTAGGCAACCATCTCTCTCTAATCAGAATCCTTTATTCCTCAGTTGCAGAAGAAATAGGGCACAATCTGTTGTAAACAGGGCACTGTTGTAAAACCAGGATAATATTCTTGAATTAAGAACGTTCTCATTAAATTGAAAAGACTTTCCCAAGTGTCTTCCAGCAATGTAGTATATATATTCTGCTGACCTCTTAATTTCATAAATTAACTTTCCTTTGATTCCATTTTTATGGTGGTCATGTTCACAGTTTTGTCTTAAAAATTGGTTTAAATTTATATAAAACTCTGTACATGTTCACAAATTATTGCATAAACAGCATAATCTTCAAGACAGTGTCTGCAAACACATGTCCTATTTAGGAAAAGAATATTCACGTTTCCCGCCTGGCTTTTTTCTTCTTTTTTATTTGTTTTGGGGATTCCCAGCTAGTTTCAGACTTGGCTGAAAGAGAAATAAAAAATAAAAAACAACAGGAGATAAAAAAGTTAGGAGGATAATAAATATCGTTATGTTTCAAAAATATAAAAGTAGCACCAATGAAAACATGCTTTGAGGTCCACTAAGAATGCCTTAGATTTTATGTTTAAGTTTTTAAGTTTTAGGTTATTCTAAGTCTGCCTTCCTCTTTTCTTTCAATTCCAATACTTAGTTTAACCACATGGATGACATTTTACCAGTTTTGAACTAGAAAAATGATGAACAATCTGCCGTTTCAAGAACATGTGCACCCTCTGCCCTGGCGGTGTGGCTCCGTTGGCTGGGCATCGTCCTGTGCACTGAAAGGTTGCTGGTTTGACTCCCAGTCAGGGCACATGCCAAGGTTTCAGGCTTGATCCCCAGGAGGGGCTCTGCAGGAGGCAGTCAATGATATTCCTCTCACACATCATTATCAATGTTTCTCTTTTCCTCTCCCTTTCCTTGAAAAAATCAACTAAAAACTATGATTCAGTCTAAATATCTTAGGCTTCTAAGATAGTAACACTTATAAGCAGTATAGAGAGCACACAAAAGAACAAAAAATGAGATGACTTACTTTGTGAAGGAGGCACGCTATTTTGCTTAGTATTTGACTTGGATTTATCTGACTCTTGTAGCATCGGTGGCACTTGGGAAGAGCTCTTGTCAGAATCACTTTTTGATAAAATAACAGATGGCTCGGTAGAAACAGCAGGTGGAAGAGTCTTGATAGGCTATTTTGAATACAATTATTTTAAATTTTTTGTATGAAATTCCAAATAAAATGTAATATCATAATAATAAGAGGCCGGTTAGCAGCAATTAAATACAAAAATGGTTTCCAGAAGCACAACTCATACCTGCCCTCTAGTGACAAAACTGACTATATCTTTACCTACAAATTCAGATTGAGATAAAAATGAAGATTTAAAATTACAAGATGTTTATTGAATCTCAAATAGGAGTAAATAATTTTCATTAACTTTTAAATTTATGATTTTATATTTGTTAGCAATTCAATGGTTCTGTTCACTTTCCACCAACTCAACTTAAAACCTTTTCATGTGAAAGACAAAAAGAAAACCACTAATTTCAGAACTTCAGAACTACCAGTAGGCAATACCCGCCTTTTTCCTTCTCAAGAGGTGGGAGTATCTCAAACAGCATCAGCAACAGCTTGTTTCCTGCCTATGGGAAAACAGACCTCAGGCAAAAGCTGACTATGGCTATTAGTTCTGCCAGTCAAAGCAACTTAAACTCAGGTCCAAATCTTCCAAGTTTTATCCAGTTTGGTGGTGATATCATAATGCCTAGGGCCTAGACTCTTGAGCCTTGCTTCTCCTTCTTCAACCTATGAGCAGAAAGGAGTTAAACTGATTTGCCTCACTGAAGTCAATGAATCGTCAAAACCAAGTAATAATAGAATCTCCAATATTTGGAGTTCCCTGAGGCTTTAACAGATGAGTAAGAGATCATCTCACCCTTTAGCTTTACCTCTGAGTGTTATTTTGAATACCAGAGGCCTGGTAGATGAAATTCGTGCACTGGGGGTGGTGTGCTGTGTATGTATCTCCCTCAGCCTGGCCTGCACCCTCTCAAATCCGGGATCTCTCTCGCAATTCGGGATGGCTCGCTCCTAACCACTCACCTGTCTGCCAGCCTGATTGCCCCTAACAACCTCTGCCTGCCAGCCTGATTGCCCCTAATTGCCTCTGCCTGCTGGCCTGATGGCCCCTAACTGCTCCCCTGCTGGTCTGATTGCTCCTAACTGTTCCACTGCCTGCCTGATTGCCCCAACTGCTTCTACCTCAGCCTCTGCGGCTTTATCTGGAATAATATCCAGAAGGTCATTTGGTCTAATTAGCATATTACTCTTATTAGCATAGATAGAAACCAGGATAAATAATGTTTCTCCTGCCCTTTGTGCTTTCAGGCTCCTTGGTTCAAGAAAGCACCAAGGAAAAGGAAACAAAAGGAGGGAGCTGTGTGTGCCCAGATAAATCCTGGGGTTCTTTCTTCCTATTTCAGGGATCTGAAGCAGCATTATGGTTCCATTCAACTTTCTTAAGGTTACCTGTATTTATTTCATACCAAACATATTGTTTTACCACTTATTTTTAATCTCCTTTCCTCCTCTGTTCTCTCACTTATCTATATTAATATTCTTTACAAGATGGCTTCTGAAAATAATTTAAGCAAAACATCAGAATGTCAAATGACCCTTGTAGTCTTTTTAAACCTACAAATGTGTTGAGATTGCATCCTTTTATCTCAAAGTACTCTCAGGGAGATAAAAGCATCCAATCCAAATAGGAAGAATCGTTACAACCGTGTTTTAGGACAAAGTGGTTATGAATTCTCTCTCTTATTGGTAATCCCAGTTCTTGTCGAAAGCTGTTTTGTTAAGCAAGTAAGCTCCACAAAGGCAGAGATTAGCTTTTGTTTCCTTAGTTCTCAGAATCTAAAACAGTGTGTGGCATATGGTACCCAACATATTTTTTTAATGAGTAAATAAATGAACCATTCAACTCCAGTAGAATTTAATATATTTCAACATGATGTAATTCACCTAAATGTAAATCAGTATGTGTCAGTGACCTAGACTTTCTGTAATGTGGTGCCTTCTGACACATCAAAAATTTCCACAAAAGGCACGTTTTAAGAACCTCTTACCAAATTTATTAAATGCTCCATTTAGAGAGGTTGGACCATAATCATATTACGTGCATGCTTTGGGAAAAATGCAACCAGTCACATTTTCTCTGAGCTATCTATTGATCCCTGCGTGCCTAGACAGTTAGTAGGAGAAAATATAGACTAGCAGATCTGATTTTACCACTGATAGCTATGCAATTTTGGACAAGTTTGTTCAACTTCTCTAACCTCATTTACATAATTGTCCTACCTTTCTTGTTTTTCTTTTTGTGAAGAATAAATTATTTTGAGAATTTTAAATACTTAGTACAATACTTCAATAAAATATTAATTATAATATAATTCTCAAGTCATCAAAATTTTACTTTTTAAATTTCAAAAAATCACCTGGCTATTTTTGACAAGTGTTTCTGCTGGATCACTAGTGCTTATGGTTTTCGAAGAAAAAGCTTTTTCCTGTTTTGGGCGAACTTTAGAGGTATTCACTGGAAGCTCTTCTCTAATCTCTTTTTCTAATTCTTCTGGGTCCTAGAAAGAAAAGTAGTCTATTAGATGATTTAAATTACCCATTTTTACTATTTAAAATCTACTTCACACAGAACTTCATGGATATCTCATTTAAACAATGAAGAAACTAGAATTTGAAGAAAAGTCTGACTCTAAAACTTATAAACTTACTAGAGACGCACTGGTGGAGTCCCTCAGCCTAAGCTGCATTTTCTCACAATCTGGGACCCTTAGGGGGATGTTGGAGCTGGTTTCAGCCCGATCCCTGCAGGTCAGGCGGAGTGACCTTACCGGAGCATGAATCCAGGCCTCTAATATGCATATAAGATCCTTGGTTAATCTCTTCTCCCCTGCCCCCTTCCCTCTGAGATTCATCAGTCTGTTCCATGTTTCCATGCCTGTGTGTTGAGCATCTGCCCTCTGGTGGTCAGTGCATGTCATAGCTTTCAGTCGAACAGTTGCTTAGGCATATATATATATATATATATATATTTTTTTTTTAAATAAACACACACATGCATATTTACATATTTATTTCAGAAAGGAAGGGAGAGGGAGAGAGAAACATCAACAATGACCGAATTATTATTATTATTATTTTAAAATATATTTTATTGATTTTTTACAGAGAGGAAGGGAGGGAGAGATAAAGAGCTAGAAACATCGATGAGAGAGAAACATCGAACAGCTGCCTCCTGCACACCCCCCACTGGGGATGTGCCCACAACCAAGGTACATGCCCCTGACCGGAACCGAACCTGGAACCCTTCAGTCTGCAGACCGATGCTCTACCACTGAGCCAAACTGGTTTCGGCGATGACCAAATTAGTGATCAGCTGCCTCCTACACGCCTTCCTCACTGGAGACTGAGCCTTCAACCTAGGCAAATGCCCTAACCAAGAATCAAACCATGACCTCCTGAGTCATGCTGGCCGGGCTTCATTGTATTTAAAAAAACAAAAATCAGAGCAGCCAAAGCCGGTTGGGCTCAGTGATAGAGCGTTGGTCTGCAGACTGAAAGGTCCCAGGTTCGATTCCGGCCAAGGGTATGTACCTTGGTTGCTGGCACATCCCCAGTAGGGGGTGTGCAAGAGGCAGCTGATAGATGTTTCTCTCTCATAGATGTTTCTAGCTCTCTGTCTCCCTTTCTCTCTGATAAAAATCAATAAAATATATTTAAAAACAAAACAAAAAAACAGATCAAACTTTTAAAAAAAGGAATATCATCAAAATACCAAAGAAACTTTCACAATGACCTTTTCCAATAAGTTGAAATTTACAGAATATATTAATCTCTCAAAATTTCCTTTAAAAGGAATTCACCAATCTACAAGCCCAGGAAAGCCATAACCAACACAGAAATCCAGAACAAGTTGGCTAAATGGATTTCAGGAGGTATTGCTAGCAATGGATAGCTGTCAATATCATTTCTTGGACAATTATTTAGCATAGTTGTAAATAATAAGATTTTCATATATTGTAATGTAATGGTGATATGCTGCTTTCAAAAATAAATTCAGCCCTCGCCGGTTTGCTCATTGTGATAGAGCGTTGGCTTGCCCAGGCATATACTGGGTCAATTCCAGTCAAGGGCATGTATCTCGGTTGCAGGTGCCTTCCCTACCCTGGCCCTGGTCAGGGCACATGCAGAAGGCAACCAATTGATGTGTTTCTCTTATATCGATGTTTCTGTCTTTTCCTCTTCCTTCCACTCTCTCTAAAAATCAATGGAAAAATATCCTCAAGTGAGGATTAAAATAAAAATTAAAAAAATCCATGTAGCCCGTGTGGCTCAGTGATTGATTCAACCCATGAACCAAGTGGTTACCGGTTCCAATTATATAGCATGTATGCAATTTCCAGTAATATAGCATGTATGAAATTAAAATATCTTTGTTTTCATCTATATCAGTGGTTCCAATCTTTTTTGGCCATGCCCCACCTAAACATTTCAAAAATCCTGATGCCCCCGTGTGACATATAATTCTATTATTCAAAAAGTGAACTCCTATTCAAATGACAGAAGCCTAAAAGGCTACTAACTTGGTCTAAACAAGCTTCCAAAGAACATGGCATCCATGAAAGAGGAAAATAAAAGAACGAAAGAACAGTTGAAGTAATGAGGAAGAAATCCCTAAGAAATTGTTAAAAAAAAAAATGATGTGATATGAAAAAATAAAGTTTCAAAATCACATGATAAAGAACCGAAATGCATAAATGTAACTATACTTGTATATTGTATTTGAGGCCCCTAGAATCGTAAGAAATGCAAAAAATTCACTGTTAATAACTCATTCTCAAATTGCTGTGGGGAGTGTGACCCACATTGGGAACCACTGATCTACAATATAATCTAAAACATTTCCCAGATGGGAGAGACCAAAGAAAAGGAAAACGGAGGAGCAATAGAAAGTTAGAATTTCTCTGTAGGTGTGAGATACTGTCTGAACCTCCTTTCCCATTTCAGCACAAAATGCATCTGGACTAATTTAGAATTTTATTTATTTACTTTTGGGTTTACAACTTGGATTTTTTTAAAAAAATATATTGTATTGGTTTTGTACAGAGAGGAAGGGAGAGAGATAGAGAGTTAGAAACATCGATGAGAGAGTGTTATCGATCAGCTGCCTCTTGCCAAACCGGTTTCAACTGGATTTTAAAACATTTAGGGAATTTTCAAATAAATTTGAGGTGTGTTTTATCTCTACATAGTCTTAGCATTTTCTTTTCACATTTCTGCAGTAGGTGCTTACTGAATGAAACTTGTTTTTTTTTTTTTATAAAATATATTTTATTGATTTTTCTTACAGAGAGGAAGGGAGAGGGATAGAGAGCTAGAAACGGTGATGAGAGAGAAACATCGACCAGCTGCCTCTTGCACACACCTACTGGGGATGTGCAACCAATGTACATGCCCTTGACCGGAATCGAACCTGGGACCTTTCAGTCCGCAGACCGACGCTCTACCGCAGAGCCAAACCGGTTTTGGCTGAAGCTTGTTTTGATACTCTACCTGTGCAGGAGAGTTATCGTCACCTTGCTTCTTCTTTTTCTTCTTTTTCTTTTTAGATTTCCCGGTTGAAAGAGCACCCTCTCCTTTTTCTTTATCATCATCTGAAACCTAATTTTAAAAGCATAAATGTTAAAGTGAACTGATTGATTTAGTTCTCATTATTCTGAAAATATTTTGAAATGTTTTCATTTATTAGGTTTAGTCTTTAAATACTAAATAAGAATTAGTAACAAGCAATAAAAGTGATCTAAAATTACATCTTAAGAAATAAAGTACATGGAACTTCATTCTCCTATTGTCTATGACTGACCACTTTTTCCTTACATCTTTCCTTACTTACTATAAGATTTACTGTGCAAATCTTGGTTTTTAAAAATTCATTAGGTAGGTAATTTTGTTTTATTTAAGAGTTTAAATGTAGAACTATTTGTATTAAAATTGAGTTTGACCCTGTTAAGAGGATGGAAACTACAGAGTGGGAGAAAATATTTGCAAACCATATACCCAACAAAAGACTTATATTTAGATTATATAAAGAACACTAACAATTCAATAGTAAAAAAAAACCATGCATCTAAATAGAAAATGTACAAAGATCTGAACAGACATTTCATGAAAGAAGACAGACAGATGGCAAAAAAACAGATGGAATTATGTGCAATATTATTAGCCATTAGGAAAATCCAGACTAAAAATTTACCATGAGTTATCACCACATACCTATCAGAATGGTTAAAATAAAAAACAGTGGTCCTGGCCAGGTAGCTCAATTGCCAAAGTTGTTGATTTGATACCTGACCAAGATACATACAAGAATCAGCCAATGCATGCATAAATAAATGGAACAACAAATTGATGTTTCTCTCTCTTTCTCTAAAATCAATTACAAAAAATTAAAGAAAAAAAAAAAAGTGATAACAGCAAAGTGCTTGCAAGGAAATTAGATCGCTCGTGCATTCCCAGTAGAAATATAAAGTGATACGGCCACTCTGGAAAACAAGCAGTTTCTTAAAATATTAAATATGAACCTATTACCCAGGATTGTACTCATAGGCATTTATTCCAGAGAAATAAAAGCGTACATTTGCATAAAAACTAGTACATGAATGTATATAGCAGTTTTATTCATAACAGCCCCCAAATGGAAACAAATGTCCTTTACCAGGAGGATGATTAAATACAGGCATACCTCAGATATAATGCAGGTTCAGTTCCCGACCACCAATATGAAACAAGTATTGCAATAAAGTGAGTTGTAATCTTTTTTGCTGGTGGAGGGTCTTGCCTTCAATTTGTAAATAAATGAAACATTTGTGAAGTGCAATAAAGTGAAGTGCAATAAAATGAGGTATGCCTGTAAACTGAGTAGAGCATGGACTACTACTCAAAAGTAATAAGAAGCAACTAATGATACATACAACAATTTGGAAGAATCTTTAGAGTAGTGATTGTCAACTGGTGGTCCGTGAGGTCCAAAAGGTTGGCAACCGCTGTTTTAGAGATTATGCCCAGAGAAAAAAACAGTACCAAAGGTTATCCTATATAATAAAAACCTAATATGCAAATTGTCTCCTAGACCAGGAGTTTGACTAAGGGTGGGGCCAGTTGGCCAACTGCGGGAAGGAAGGTCCCGACCAGCAGCTAGCAGCCGCTAGGAACCCTATTTGTGCATGAATTTTGTGCACTGAGCCTCTAGTATACTATATAATTCTTTAAAGAAGACATTCTTGAAATGACAAAATTATAGAGATGATGAACTTCCTGGTTGGCTAGGGATTTCAAAAGGGGGTGGAGATAGGAAGGAAGAGAAGATGATATGAAAAAGAGCAACCTGAGGGATAACTGAAGTGACAGAAATGTCTATATCTTGACTACATCAATGCCAAGATCTGGTTGTGATACTGTCCTATAGTTTCAAAAAGGAGGGACATTGGGTAAAGGGTATTGTATCAATATTATTTCTTACAAGTAAATGTGACTTTCTAATCATCTCAAAATAAAAGACTTAATTAAAAAATTAAATCTGATAAAGTCACTGAAAATAACATTCTGCATAATAAAAACTGAATTAGGACTGTTAAATTAGTATTATTAGTACTGATGATATCTCTTCACATATCACATATAGTTGAATTTTCTATAGAAAAGTGTCTTTTGTTTATTTTGTACAGATGATAGCCAAGATCCATAGACTATTCTTAGAGAAAGAAATGATAAGGATACCTGCTATTTCTCTTTTCAGCACCATAGTCATTAGGATGATTTTAGAAGTCTCATGAATCACCAAATAGTTTATAAAATTAGTATCAGAGAGGAAAACAAAATGCTGTACTACTTAGTTTTAGCTAACTGTAACTCAGCCATAAAAGAGAGGTAGTTTTGCATGGCAAAACACTTTTTGTTTATGGGAAAAAGGAGGAATCAACCCCATACCACCTTTTAACGCAAATATTCTGAAAAACTGAAAATTCCTTTTTATTCCCTTTCTCAATCCCATTCCCACATTACCTTCCTAGAGGTAACCATTATCATGAACTTCTTTTGTATCCATCTAATAATTTTTTTTATAAATTTATGTCTCCCCACACAAAATGTACACAAATGGTATCATTATTGTTATCTTTCTGAAACATGCTCATCATATATATCTCTTTAAAATATATTTTTAGATATTTTATATGTACATGTGTATATAAATTAGATTTTAGTAATATTGATATACTAATTTTTTAATTTTAATTTTTTTGATATACTAACTTAGCTTTAATTCATTTAAAAAATCTCTAATATGCCACTGTACAAACAGATCACATTTTATTTATCCATTCCCCAACTAATAGGCATTTAGATGGCTTCCTATTTTTGCTTAGAAATGTAAAGATGATCTCTGAATCTGCTCAGAAAAAGAACTGCTATGATATGTGATTGTCTTTATTCAGTATCTCCACTGTTAAATTCTGATGAACAAGCAAAGGAAGTTCCAGTTAAGAGAAACATACTTTTATTTGTACATTCACTACGTATCAGAATAATTACTATGTGCTAAGATACTATATACTAAGAAGCTTTTAAAACATGTAAACTTTATTATTATTATTTTTTGGGGGCAGTTTTAGGTTCACAGCAAAATTGAGCAGAAGGTAAAGATTTCCATATACTCCCTGCCCTCACACACACACAGACTCTCCACATCCCCCATTATCAGCATTCCTTCAGAGTGGCACATTTGTTACAACCAATGAATCTACAGTGACACACCACTATCACTCAAAGTCCATATCCAACATCAGGGCTCACTCTTGGTGTTGCACATTCTGCGGGTTTGGACAAATGTACAGTGACATGGATCCACCATTCTAGTATCATACAGAGTAGTTTCATTGCCTGAAGTACCCTCTATGCTCTGCCCATTTGTCCCTTTTTTCTCCAGCTCTTGGCAACTGTAGTAAGCTTTTGTAGGTCCAATCTAAATTCGTTATCCCCTCCCCCTCGCCCCAGACTTTGATTTTACTGGTAACTGTGCCCCTCTACATTTATTTACACTCTTAGTAGTAAAACCCATTAAGGACCTTTCCCTTTCTCTGGTCCCTGAAGATGAGAGGTACTATCTATCCAATTAGAGGCTAACCCACAATCCACTTGTGCCTAAGGTTCCCCAAACTCTATTGCTAGGATCTTATTCTACTAAATCTCTCATACAAATTTAATTTTACTTAAGATTCTTTGCCTTTTTGCCTACAGATATATTAAAGCAGGAGTAGGCAAACTACGAATTTAGCCCAATGCCAGTTTTTGTAAATAAAGTTCACTTTTGTATTGCCTATAGCTACTTTTGCACTGTGTGGCTTTTTATTAAAAAATCTGCCAATCCTGCATTAAAATCTCTTCTATAGCCCGGTCAGAGTGGTTCAGTGGTTGAGTACTGATCTATAAACCAAAAGGTCATGGTTCAATTCTTGGTTAGGGCACATGCCCATGTTGTGGGCTCAGTCCCCAGTGTGGGGTGTGTAAGAGGCAGCTGATCAATGATTCTCTCTTTTAAAAAACATATTTTATTGATTTTTTTACAGAGAGGAAGGGACAGGGATAGAGAGTTAGAAACATCAATAAGAAACAGATCAGCTGCCTCCCGCACACTCCCCATTGGGCATGTGCAGGCAACCAAGGTACATGCCCCTGACTGAATCGAACCTGGGACCCTTGAGTCTGCAGGTCAATGCTCTAGCCACTGGGCCAAACCGGTCAGGGCTAATTCTCTTTCTTCATTGATGTCTCTTTCTCCCTCTCCCTTCCTCTCTCTAAAAAAAAAAAAAGAGAACTGAACTAATAGCTCAAGGTATGGAATGGTTCAATTATGCAAATCTTAACAGTTACCATAAATGATGACAGGGCTAGAGTTGGTAGGCTATTCTAATAATTCTGATACGTAGACAGGAAGTGTTATTTGTTTTCTTATTAATGTCTAACAGTGCTTTCCATATAAAGCCCTCCATAATTTGCGGGGCAAAAAAACAACAGTGATATGGAGAAGGCATGCATGCAAAAGATAATTGAAGTAAATACGATCATTATGTCTCCCTGAAGCAATCTGGATATACTTATAATAGAGACTGTATCCCCTAATAATTCTAATGTAGTTGGGTGTAAAGAAATAAACATGCCCGCCAATCCCTTTACTCACTTTTTGATCATCAGGAATTGGCTCCTGGGACTTTAGAAGTGACGCTCTTTCTTCATCTACCCAGTTCCCCCACTCTTCTGCTGGTGCATTCCAATCAGAGCTGGGATCAGCAGAAGACAGACCATCTAAAATTTAACATTGTGAATTAGGTATCTATCATTTCTGCCAAAAACTAAAATGCAAAAACTAAAATCCCTTATGTAACACTAAGATATAATTTTACCTATTGTTCCTTCCTCCGAGCACGTTTTAAAAGCTAGGAAAAACCCCCAGTAACAGGATGGGGAAAAAATACACCTTTGCTCAACTTCTACTGGGCACATCATATGGCTATTTAAGTGGAATTTCTAAGAAACTCCAGAAAACTTATGAATTAACTATTTAATTCTACTTTTCTTACCTCCTTTGTTATCAGTGTCCTGAATTTGCTATTTAGGTCTAACCTGGTAAAATCTGATCATTTCTTTGTCCTGATTATTACAACATTTTTGTAGTTTATTATATTTCTAGAATACAGAATTAGTCAATCTTTAAACAGTAGTACAAAAATTATACTCCCTCCCCATCTTATGAGCTTTTCAAGATTAGGTTTTTCTTTAAATTCACCAAGTCATTACAGAATACTTAACCTCTTCTTTCCCCTCCTTTTTAAAATAATTGCACCTTTATTCCAAAATATGGGTCACTTTTTGGGCTTCTATCACTCTACTATCGAATAACATTTTATTCTAGACTTTAAAATTCCTTTCTTTCACCCTAGGAGGCACTGGCTTATTCTGAAAGGGAAAAACATTCTTCGGCTTTACCCTGATTAAGCAAAGTTAATCCTTTCCTCCTGGTCCAGGATATCCTACAGGCATGCATATATACTTTTGTAACAACAACTTGTAGTCAGTTTTATTTACACTGGTTTAAGATAACAAAAGTTAGACTGTATTTCTAAATAGTTAATGAGTTTAGAATTCTAATATAGTACTGCTTTATTGAAAAAAATCCACTTTCCCCCCACTAATGCCAAATGCTGCTTTCATTAAACACTAAATTCTTTTATATACATTTCACTCTGCTTTTAGAATTTTATTCTATTCCACTGATCTATTCCTGGGGTAGTGCCATCTATAATAATAAAAGCACAATATGATAAATTAGATGGCTGAAGAGTGGAATGACCTTCCGGATGAAGCCGGGGCTGCGAGGGCTGAGCCCCTTTGCACGAATTTTGTGCACCGGCCTCTGATATGCATAAAATAGCTGTGCAATATATTTTAGTATCCAGGAAAACAAATCTGTCAGCATTACTCTCTCTTTCTTTCTGTTCTTATTTTTCCAGCTGAACTCTCTAACTGTTTTTGTTTAAAGGAGAGGCATTATGACACATCTTCATGAAGGCTTTAGAATCTATATTTTGAAAGAATATAGTACTTTCCATATAAAAAATCTCATAGGAAAAAATGTCTGTACAGTATGATCCCAAATTTACAGGAGGAAGATATACAAGAAAATAATATATAAGAGATATATCTTAACAGTGGAATTACAGGAATTTCATCTTATTAAGCACTTGCTATGTACTAGAACTTGAGCTAGGTAGATATCAGAGATACAAAGATCAGTATGACATAATCCCGCCCACCCCCATGCCACTCAGTCTATCTACTCAGGGATGGAGATAGGTAAATACAACAGCAAAGTGATAAGACTGTGTCACAAAGGGTATAGAGAGAGTCTAATTAATGGAGGTAAAACACTTAACAAGTGATTACAAGTGTGAAATGTGTTATAAAAAAAAGGAAGTCCCTCCCTATATTTTGAAATTTATTAACATAACTTGGGACATTATTACATAGCATTAACAGAGAGGGTAAGAAGGACCTGACCAGGGAGCTCAGTTGGTTAGAGTGTCGTTCATACACCAAAAGTTTGCGGGTGTAGGGCAAATAGCTAGGTTGTGGGTTTGATCCCTGGTTGGGGATCAAAAATATATTTTATTGATTTTTTACAGAGAGGGAGATAACCAATGTATGGGAGATAGCCAATCTTTCTCTCCCCCTCGGGTGAGGATTTAAAAAAATAAAATAAAATAAAGTATCTTATAATCAAACTAGAGGCCCGGTGCATGCATTCATGCACAGGTGGGGTTCCTAGGCTTGGCTGGCGATCGGGGCTGTCTTGCCCAGTCCCACTCAGGGCAGATCAGGGTCAGCTAGCCTGGGGTTGGCTGTGGGAGTGCACAGACCACTGGGGGTAGCTCCTGCATTAAGTGTCTGCCCCTTAGTGGTCAGTGTGCATCATAGAGACTGGTTGACTGGTCTTTTGGTCGACTAGTCATAATGGTTGCTTAGGCTTTTATATATATTGATAGATGGTTCTACATATCTACATATGAACATTGCTCTAACAATAACTATGCCATTTTTGTTAAATTTCTTAACTGTAATGAACTTCATAGGGCTGCTGAGAGGATTATATGAAGTAAGAGTAAAGAAGTTCATAACAATGCAGTAAATGGTCAATAAATGGTAGCTATTTTGTTGTAAATGTTTTTACAACAGAAAGCCAGTTTTCAAGCTATAAAGCATATAAAATTAAGAATTTACTTTTCACCCTACCTAGTTTGGCTCAGTGGATAGGGTGCTGGCCTGTGGACTGAAGGGTCCCGTGAAGGGCACATGCCCAGGTTGTGGGCTAGATCCCCGGTAGGGGGAGTGCCGCATATCAATGTTGTTTCTTTCATCATTGTTGTTTCTGTCTCTCTCCCCCTCTCCCTTCCTCTCTGAAATCAATAACAATATATTTAACAAAAAATAGTAATTTACTTTTAGTCCAGCCAGTGTGGCTCAGTGGTTGAGTGTTGATTTATGAACCAGGAGGTCACAATTCGATTCCTGGTTAGGGCACATGTCCAGGTTGTTGCCTCAATTCCCTGTGGGGCATGCAAGAGGCAGCCAATCAATGATTCTCACTCATCATTGGTGTTTTTATCTCTCTCTCCCTCTCCCTTCCTCTCTGAAATCAATAAAAATATGTTTTTAAAAATTATATATTTTAAAGGCTTAAATGGCTATAAAGTTTGGAGAGTAACTGTACTATGGCTTAACTTCCATAGGAACATTAACAGAAGAATAATTTCTATTGGCTTCCCAAAACTTTATTGGTGCCCAGCTGGTGTGGTTCAGTGGTTGGACACTGACCCATAAACTAGGAGGCCACAGTTCGAGTCCCAACTAGGAGATCACAGTTCAAGTCCTGTTTAGGATACATTACAGGGTTTCAGGCTCAATTCCTATTGGGGGCTTTCAGGAGATGACCAATCAATGATTCCTCTCCTCACTGATGTTTCTATCTCTCTCCCCCCTTCCTCTCTAATAGCAATAAAAACATATTTTAAAAAATTTATTGGTCAAGTTTCCATGTTTACTGATCTCAGGTATTTTTTTTTTAAATTAACTAGATCAAATGAAACTATTTTAAAACAACAAATCAATCATCTAAGCCTAAACACCATCACGAGGAGACTCCTCAACACTTAATATCTTAAGGTTCATAGGCCTATCTGCTAACTTCTTAGACATAGTTTCCTTAGAACTGCATAGTATAGCTTCATTCATAATATAGGTCTCTCCATCTATCTATAATAATAAAAGCATAATACGCTAATTAGACTGAACATCCTTCAGGATGAACTTCTGGACAAAGCTGGGGCTGCAAGGGAAGCTGGTGCTGGCAGCCGGGGAAGGAAGGCCTACTCTTGCTTTGTGTATCAGGTTTCTAGTTTATAAATAATTTCCTATTTTTCAAAATTCCTCCATTAGTTTTCAAACATCTTTTTTGTTGTTGTTGTTAATCCTCACCAGAGAATATTTTTTTCCATTGATTTTTAGGGAGGAAGGGGAAAGGAGAGAGGGAGGAAAAAAAAGAGAAGGAGGGGGGAGGGAAGAGAAAATATCCATGTAAGAAAGACCCAAGGTCTGGGATCAAATCTGCAACCCAAGTATGTGCTCCTGACTGGGAATCGAACCTGTGAACCTTCTGTCTGAGGGCCAATACTCTAACCACTGAACAATACTGACCAGAGATACCAGTATCTTTTCAAAGAACCATATTAGCTGTATTCAAAATGGTAAGCAATGTGTCTCCATTTAACTTGCTTATAGAGTTAAACATCTCATAGCTAATCTCTATTTTACCTCAGCAAGAAAATGGCTGTTAGCTGTTTATCAGAATTTAATGAATTAACTTTAATAAAACACAACAATTACATTAGAAAGACATTCTCTAGTTTTTAAACACACCATACTAATGACAGACTAATTTTGCCCCTAGAAGAAGACATTAACAACAGCACAGAAGCACATATTCAATATTTACTAGAATATTAGAACACAGGGCAGTATTTTAAGTGTATTTTAATGTTCTAATATGTATTATATTATTTAAGCCTCTCAACAATTCTGCCGGGGGAGGGAGGGGAGGAAGGCAGGAGGGAGAGAGGGAGGGAGAACTACTATTTTTACAGATGATGAAACTGAGGCATACAGTCTTAGGGCAAAGACAAAGAAGATTTAAGCCCACATAGTCCTCAAGGGTCATGCTCTGAACCCCTTCATTATGCTGGGCCAACAAAACCAAAGTTCTATTAAAAATCTCACTCCTTATAGGGGTGATGATTTTTTTTTTTAATGGCCAAGATAACTGATAGATTAACATCTACCCTTAAAAGATAAGATGCTATACTGTAGCATCTTATCCTTATATTCAAGTGCCTGGGTAGAATCAATGCCTTTTTGTCAGATAATGTTTTCTATGCCTCAAACCAGACAGTCAATATATATAGATTTAATTGATTTTTAGAGAGAGGAAGGAAGAGGGGTAGAGATAGAAACACTGTGGATTGGCTGCCTCCTGCATGCCCCCTATTGGGGGTCAAGCCCGCAACATAGCCACGTGACCTCTTGCTTATGGATTGGCACTCAATCACTGACCCACACCAGATGGCAAAGAGTCAATAAATTAATATTATACTGTTAAATGTAAAACTAGTGTATATGTATGTGTGTACACATTTTGTGGGTTAGTAATCTCAAATCCTCTACAAATTTAGAAGGAATAAGTAAATTCACCAAGTACCAACATTAGCTATAATACATTAGAGATGACAACACACAAAATAAAATTCACATAGGAAATGAAGTTGAAGAGAAACTTTGAACTTAAAAGACTGCCAATACAACATAACAAGTTTGAGAAAGATGGTATTCCTTATACTCACTACTTTAAATAGTCATGTGCATACATTTTTCAGTCTTGTTTTAGCAGCCAATCGTATCTTTCGTATTACAAGAATTGTTAAAGAGACAAAAGAGGAGCTGTTCTATCCAAGTTGAGAAGTCTAGAGTCTTGTTTGCTCAGTTCTCCTCAGCCTCATACCACAGCTGCCCAAGACATCTTCACCGCACTCCTGCTATTTTCTTACAATCACTCTATTGTTCTTCAATCACTCCTCAATTCTATTGGGAATAAACTTGATCGTTCTTCCCAAAGTTTTTTTTTTTTTTTGCTCCATTTTACAACTCAATTTAGATTCCAAGATAAGTGACAAGAAAAAGTCCAAGCCATATGAGGTACTATTACATTTTAAAATCTGGACTAGAACTAGGATACACGTTCTAAACCAGAAACTCCAACCTTGAGCTTCCTAATCTTTAGCCAGCAATTCAAGGCTTTTCACAATATGGTCCTCCCTAATATATCTTTTCAACTTCAACTCCCTTAATCAATAAGAATTGTGCTTCAAATAATCTATAGAGAGACTAATCAATGTACACCACTAATAACCCTTGTGCTGTGTTTCGAGCTTACCTTCACGATTACAATTATCACCAAGGCTGTATCATGTAGTGGTTAAAAGCATGAACTCTGGAGCTAGACTACAAAAATTTGATATCATCTCCTCCACTTAACTTGAGTTATGTGGCTAGGGGAAGTTAAGATAACTTTTTTTTTTGCCTCAGTTTCTTAATATGGTAAGTATGGAAAAATAAACATCTACTTCATGGAATTGTTATAAGCATTAAATTAACAGGATTTACAAGACTTAGAGCAGTGTCTGGCCAGTGTGGGTTAGTGGTTGAGCATCAGCCCATGAATCAGGAGGTCATGGGTTCGATTCCTAGTCAGGGCACATCCCTGGGTTGTGGGCTTGATCCCCAGTAGAGGATGTGCAGGAGGAAGCCGATCAATGATTCTCTCTCTCTCTCTTTTTTCCCCTCCTTTAAATATGCTTTTATTGATTTCAGAGAGGAAGGGAAAGGGTGAGAGAGATAGAAACATTAATGATGAGAACCATTATCAGTTGCCTCCTGTACGCCCCCTACTGGGGGTTGAGCCCACAATCTGAGCATGTGTCCTTGGACCAGAATCAAACTTCAGTTTGCAGGCTGATGCTCTAGCCACTGATCCAAACTGGGTAGGGCCAAAACATATTCTTTTAAAAAATTTTAATCAGGGAAAAAATGGTAGAAAACTCCAAAAGTAAATGCTAAATAAATATCAGAAAATAATGTGCTGTAAAAATTCTGAGAAAGTAGTAAATTCTGAGGTTTGGAGTTAAAAAGAAAACCAATTTAAAAAAAGAAAAGATAGTATGAGCTTTCTAAGATAAAAACCATTGTTTTTCCCTTCCTCTTTTTTTTTTTTTTTTTTTTTTTTTTTAAAAATAATTCTTGCTTTAACCTTCTTATGCTTCGATTAGAAATTAGGCTAACCAAATGGTTTTCTACCAATAAAAAAAACTTGCACGCCTCACAAATTCAAAGCCATTCCAATATATTTTAGAACATTCACTTAAAACAAAAATTGTAAAACTAGAGACAATAAGACAATTTCATGTTTAAATATAATCTCGATCATAAAAAATGAATTTAGTTTTAATTCTATAGGTATTCAATAATTAGTTTACAAGTAATACATTTGGTATTAGATATTACTATGACCTAAAAGGTTAGAAAATAGGATTAAAATTAAAATATAAAGCATGAATTCAGGAAGCTAGAAATTCTGAAAAAGAAACAAAAATAAACAAAACCCCCCCAAACTGATAATTTTTAAAAGGACATACTTAACCCAGACCATTCATCATCGATATAGGGCTGATTACGGCTAACATCCCACTGATAATCAGAAGTGGTAGCCTGAGAAACTGGCTCAGCAGTAGATCCTTAAATGAAAACGAATGCAATAAAATTAAAAATGGAATTTTCTAATTATGTTTCATAACAATTCTATACTTTGCATACGGAGACTTAATTTTTAAAAATTTCTCCTAAAAGAAAAAACTCAGACATTATAAGAGTTAAGATAAAGGAAAAGTAGAATTAAGGGTAATTTTAGATTATATGTGATAATCATTTGATCCAGTTCACTAATAAGAAATACATTTTTCCTTAGTACCAATCCATTAGATTTTGTCCTTTATAATATAATTCTTCAAACTAGTTATCTATATATTTCAAAAAGTCAAAAAAGTTATTGGGGGCACAGGTGCAGGATGGAGGGGGTCAATGGGGAAATCTGTAATACTTGCAACAATAAAGATAAATTTAAAAAAAGTTTTATCCCTCTTCTTAATTAAAAATGATAAAGCACAAAAGAAATCCTGGATGTTTCAGGGTAGTCTATATCCTTAGAACCCTGAAGGAGAGAACTAGAAAATGTCTGAGTTTGCTAGAACCTTTTGCCTAAGGAAATATTGAAGAAGAAAGAGAGAGATGATTATTCTAGAGAGTTAAGGCAGTGAGAAGCCAAAGAGATATGAGAGTTATGCTGGTGGTTTAGAGAACAAGTTAAATTTAGGTGCATTTAATGAAAAGAGAATACAGCTGACCTTTGAATGATATGGGTTTGAATGGTATGGGTCCACTTATTCACGATTTCTTTTTTTCAGTAAAATTTTGTACTTTCTCTTCCTTATGATTTTCTCAACAGTTTTCATTCTCTAGCTTACTTTATTGTAAGACTACAGTATACAATACATATAAAACATACAAAATATGTGTTAACACACTGTTTATGTTTTCAGTAAGTCTTCCAGTCAACAGTTGCCTATCAGTGGTGAAGTTTTGGGGGAGTCAAGTTACATGCGTATTTTCAACTGTGCAGGGATGTGTATAGGGGGATATCAGTGTTCCTAACTCCTGCATTGTTCAAAGGCCAGCTATATTCTAAGTGTTTTCTGTTTCTACTTTTCTTTTTTTGGGTGGGTGGAGAAGTCATATAGTTCTTTAGGAATCTGATAACAGCTGTGGCAGACTACTGTCCAGAACTTACACAAAAAATTGCATATAGTTTTAGAGACATAAATTCATGGTTACCAGGTCAAAACACCCTGCTATACAGCCATAAATTGATTTCAGAATACAAATGTTCTTCATTCAGGATATATATATATATATATACACCCCAGGCCTTCTGAATAAGAATCTCTGTATGTATCAGAATCCTTAGGTAACTCTGATATTCACTTTGGATTCAGAGCCATTGATATAAAGAGTTGGTTAAGAAAAATACCTGTAGTATAAAAGATACAATCACTTCCTTGATCAAAGTCTTTACTATCAAATTTTACTAGCACTCCACTAATGTAACTGCTTGATATACTCAATAGTTATATTTTACGTAACTTTTAACAGAGTAACACTATAAAATTCATATATAATTAGCACATGTACTGCTTAGAGGCCCTCGAGTAACACTGTTGCTGTTTCTTTAGCAGCCCATGCTACTTTCTCTGAGTATATGAAGGGAATAGCATCTATGTTGTACAAAGTCACCAAATGAAGGAAGCAATTAACTTGTACCTCTGGAAATAAAATGTATTCTGAGACTACGAATTGGCAAACTATTACCCATAGTCCAAATCCAGCCACCCCTTCTTTTGTATACCTATGAGCTAAGAATAATATCAGATTTTTAGGTGGTTGGAAAAAAATCAAAATATTATTTCAGAACCAGACATTCCTCTGTTTATGTATCATTTCTGGCTGCTTTCCTGCTATAATGATACAATTCAGTAGTTGCAAAGAGATGGTATGGCTCACAAAGCCTCAGACATTTACTATTGGGCTCTCTACAGAAAATGTTTGCTGACCCCTTTTCTAGATAGTGACTCCAGACACTGGGGAACCATATAATTAGTGTACTGAGTCCATGAATTCCAACAACAACCCAGTATTACACATTAAAAATCTCCCATGTTCTAAGTAATATTTGTTAGGTACTTATAATTTCTACACGGTTAATAAAAGGCATATCCATTTAAGTTATGCTGAATTTTTAGAAATTTACTAGCAACAATATACTTTCTAATCAATATATACTCAAGTAAAGTGATTATGTGAGGGCCTATATAACCTGAAAAGTTTCACTATAAACTTACGATGAATAAGTGAAAATAGAAACAAAATGCCAAATTACAAGTATAGCAGGAGTGCACTAGTAACAGCAGAGTAGCTTGATCCTGAAGCAAGGCCTTCCATTTGTACTTGTCTGTGTGCCAAAGCACTTCCGGTCATGTCAAGCCACAGAATCTTATGACCCCTGCAGAAAGGAACTCAGTCACTTGCAGATTAAGAACTTAGGTCTTGCCGAAACTGGTTTGGCTCAGTGGATAGAGTATTGGCCTGTGGACTGAAAGGTCCCAGGTTCGATTCCAGTCAGGGGCATGTACCTTGGTTGCAGGTACATCCCCAGTAGGGGGTGTGCAGGAGGCAGCTGGTTGATGTTTCTCTCTCATCAATGTTTTTAACTCTCTATTCCTCTCCCTTCCTCTCTGTAAAAAAATCAATAAAATATATTTAAAAACAAAAAACAAAAAAACAACCCACAAAAAAACTTAGGTCTTCCTTCCCCTTTTATTAAGGCCTCTGTCAGTGATATTATACATCTATTATTATATTGATAGCAATACTTGACACTATTTTTCAAATAGCAAGAGCTGAATTAAACAGAAATTTCTTGTTAACTAAATGAAAGACTGTTTTCACATACCAGGAACAGCAGAGTTAAGTGTGAGAGATGCAAAAGAAGCAGAATTCTGTTCAGAGGTATTCATTCCCCTATCCACACTAGACCAAGCAGCTGTTAAAATAAAGAATGTCACTTGGAATCTTCGATTTGCAATGAAACTTGAAAGATTTGTACAGATTTAAAACTATGGTATCAATATTATATAACCTTAGAAAATTAGAACTTAATATAGCAATTGCTACTATTTAGTGAATGTTTGTTATGTACTGGCTCTTTACACCAACCACTTTTAATCTTTAGGGCAAACTTGCTAGCAAAGTTTCAGAGTAGTTAAGTAACTTGCTGACAGCTAGGAAACAGCTGAGCCAAAACTGGAACTTAGGCTGATTTCCAAAGCCTATTATGTTCTTTCTACCATTGCAAACTACCTTATTATCTACCACAATTAAGCTATGACTTTGGGCCGACCACGGGACTTTATACTTGATATTCATTTATCAAATCCTCACAAGTACTTAAATATGAGGTTCATACAGGAGGTTAAATAAACTACCCTAATTTACATAGTAAAAGCCAATGGAAGAATAGAGATTCATACCAAATTGATCTATTTGAAGTAATCCATGCTTATTCACTAGATCAGGCTATCTTCTCAACATTTCCAAGAGATTTCTTACTTCTATATGAATATTTTAAGGAGTATATACATCTATGATGTCAGACACTCCTGAGCAAATCTAACTTCCCAGTTCTCTTTCAACAAAGGTCCTAATCCATCTAAGCAGAAACTCTAATCTGCTGCTTAATTTAATCTGTAACAACATTAAGCAAATACCACCTAATTTATGTCCTAATTATGAAAATGCCACATAGCTTTTGTAAGTAAGTTGCAAATAGGTCACAGTTCTTAACATTACTTGATAAAACTTGACCATTGGTTGCTTTACAGCATAGAAATTTATGCTTTCGTCACGATTGAAATTAGCTGGAAATTTAGGGAATGTTTCTTCTTCCAAATTTTGGTATTCCTACAATTTTTAGATATTGTAGAGGGAGGAGGGAAGAGCAAGGTTAAGAACAGTGTTAGTAAATGGTCAAAAGTTTGCTTCTTGGAGAACATTAGTCAACATGTGTCTTTCTAAGCTTAAAATTGATTGGAAAAGCAAATATCATAGGAGGAAGCCATTTTTTTTCTACTTAAACCAAACAGAATATACTAACAAAAATTATCTGGCAAGCCAACAGAAAAAAATATCTTTGATACACAGAAATTACAACTTAATAAAAAAAACACTAAGAAGCAAAGAACATGAATAGAAATTCATAAAACAAATAGACATAATCAAGAAAGTTGTGAAAATATGTAATACTTTTAACAAAAAAAGATTTAATTAAAAAAAAGTTGTGAAAAATATTCAGCCTCATCAATAATTAAAAAAAATTAACCAAAAACAATGTATGTTCTTTTTGCTTATCAATTAGAAAAGATTTTTAGAAACAAGAATACCCAACCTTAGTCAGCATATGACAAATGGCACTCATACTGGTACTGATATATAAATTAGAACTCTCTTAGAAGATATATTAATATGTCATGTAGCATTATAAACATTCATATTATTCCCTTTAATATAATATCACTCCCAAGAGTCTATCCTAAAGAAATAATCCCAAAACAAATATATTCAATGCAATGCTATTTATAATGATTAAAAAAACAGAAAAATTTTTTCTCTAATAACATGAAAGTATTAACTTATGCTATGCTTATACAATGTATGATAGGACCATTAAATAAAAACACTTACAAAATGGGAAATGTTTATGTAATAATGGTAAGTGGGATGTGGGAACATAAAAATGCCTATCTGATTTGGATTATGTAAAAGAAAAATTATACATGGCGGGTGGGCAGGGGAAGGCCATAAAATACACAAAAACACAGTGGTTGGCATTGGGTGGTGTAGTAACACTGAGTTTTTTCTTCTCTTTCTGCAGTTTTCCATATTAAACATGCATTTCTTTTCATAATACACCCACCCACCACTAAAATTAAGTAGCTTTTAATTTGATGGCTCTCAACAGAAAAAAGCTCAACTACTGATCTTTGTCTTTAAAACCCAGGGGGAAAATTAGTTATAAAGAAAACTACTGAAATTAATAAAAAGAGTGGTCACACATTACACTTATTACATCACTAAAAATATAATTATATCAGTTAGCTACATGGGTAATCAAAATATGATAAAGTATGTGAAAGCAGTAGTCAAGACCAAAATAATAAGTGCTATTATTTACTTAGTTTGCTCCATAAGAAGGACCTGAGATGAGTTAATTATTGCTATTATTTCTGTATGATATTACTAATTTTTATACTCATGGATCTTTTTTCATTCCTGGGAAATTCATAATGTACCAGTTAAACAACTTTAAGCGAATTTAAAAATTCTAACGTATCTTACCAATACCAGAAAAAATGGAACGGTCACTCCAACTCCTTCCCCAGTCCTTTCCATTCACATTAGCATCTCCGGTGTCTTGACCCCAAGCAGATGGCTCAGTTTTCCTCTTGCCTGCAGAAGCAGGCGAAACAGAATTCCACTTCTCCTCCCCTGCACTTATCTGTGAGGAGAGTTTTATAGACTTTTCATTCCAGCCTCCTCCATTTACAGTGAGGTTTTCATTCAATCCTGAAGAAACTTAAAGAAAGAAAATAAAGATTAAAAACTGATAGATGACTCTTTGTTAAAAATGGGACATTTTCAAATTTCTAGGATTGCTCAGTTTATATTTATCACTCATTATTTCTCCATACTGCCCTCTAAATAGCCTGAGCTTAGAAGAAAATAAGGAATTTAAAAAGTGACATGACCAGCATAAATGACTTTTAATTTAAAAACTAAGGAGTGGTTTGGCCTTAATATATACTCACTAATGTTTTCAACAGCAGAATGACTTGTTCAAAGGAAATGCAACAGAGCAAAAAGGAAAACAACATAGTCTGTATACTCAGAATACTTACCCACTAAAAATATAAAGACTTCGTCTTAATTACAGGTTCTTTAAATATTTACATATATACTATGTATAAAGCAGTAATTCTAAAATCATTAAAATCAATTGAAAATGTTTTCCTTTTTCTTATGCATGAAAGATGTTTACTGCGACATTGTTTATAATATTAGAAATGAAAAGTAACCTCACATTACATCCAGCCTGCTTCTATACCTTTTTGCTAAGTGAAAATTTTCTTAAAAGTAGACACTGGAGTCCTAGCTGATTTGGCTAAGTAAACAGAACATCGGCCCAAGGCCTGAAGAGTCCCAGGTTCGATTCCAGTCAAGGGCACATGTCCAGATGGCAGCCAATCAATGACTTTCTTTTATCATTGATGCTTCTATTTCTACCTCTTTCTCCCTCTCCCTTCCTCTCTGAAATCAATAAAATTTTTTTTAAAAAAAGTAGACTCTGGAGCCTCAGCCCAGACAAATTAAAATCAGAATCTCTGGGGGTGGAACCCAGACATCAGTATGTATGTACATATATATTTGTATACAGTTACATGTGCTTATGTGTTTGTATGTATATATAAATGCATGCGTGAGTGTGTGTGTGTGTCTATATACATACACAAGTCCGTGTTCCTCTTTAAATTAATGATCGCTATTTTTTAAGCTTCCTAAATGATTTTAATGTATAGCCAGGACTCAGAACCATGGGAAAGAAGAAAGCTGATAGTGTTAAGAACAAGCCTAAAATGAGAAGATGCCTTTTCATTTCTGAATTTAAGTTGTACTACAACAATTTAATTTTTAAGTAAGGTATTTAATTCAATATTTATCATAAATAGGTAAATAGAGTACGTTTTCTATTTGTGAAGTACTGTATAATTTAGACTATACTTATTGTGAAATACTTGATAGTGTTAAGCAGTTTCAAAGGTTATAGGTATTAGGGATTTTTTTTTTCTTTCTTTTTTTTTTTTTTCCTAATAAAGAGTGGAAAAGCCTTTATGTGCCTATATTAAACCCAAGTCCAAGAAAATCCTTCTTTTCTCCACTGGCTTAAACGAGGCAAGCAAGAATCAAAACGGCATATAAACTATTATTAAAAGAATGTTTTCACATATGGAGGAGAGAGGGAAACAACTAGAACATATCAAATACTATTAGAAGTGGGCGTGATTTTACTTTTTATTTATTTCTAAAATCTCTTGACTGTGACTATGTTACTTTAGTAATTAAAAACCATTAAGCCCTTTCCCTTTCTGTCATTCACGTGAGGAAAGAGACATGCTTGTAAAGTTTCTATTTTGATGGGCCTTCAATTTAAGTTACATGTAATTTCTCTCACCCTGATGTGTAGGATCTCCTTTTCCAGACTTAAAGTTGCTAACTTGAACATTTAGATGAGATTCACCTGGTTGAAATAGAAATAAAATTTATTTAATACTAAATAGGCCACTATGCACATTAAGTTAGGAGTAACATACAAATCAATTTTCTTACTATTTATAATAAATTGTTCCTTTAAGCACTAAATTCATTCACTGGAAAAGAGACATTTTTACTCAATGTAATTTTACATGTCCTTAAGGAATTTAGTTCTTTAGTTACCATGGAAAGTGACAACAAAGGACCTGGAAAATTTCCCAAGTAAATAGAGCCTGCTCTTATATAATGGTTAATCAAGATTCTTTTAAGTAGGAACTAGAGAACTGGGCTCTGTAATTGAATTCAACTTTGCCCCCTCATTTTGCTACCACAATACCAGCTGCCACTTCAACAATCCTGGAAATAAGCACATCAACTAAAGAACTCTGTCAGTATTTGGGACCAAGACTTAGAAAATGTGGCACGAGGTGAGAATACATGTTTTAACAAACATACAATTTCTCTGACACTAAAAAGCATAATGATCACAATGTATCACAAAACCAGCATGACACAGGATTGTGCTAGCAAGGAAGGCATGCATAAGACAATTGAAAAAGGGTGACCAGCAGAAACACTCAAGTATGGCTAATATGTAACAGTGAAAATGGATAAGTGATGTCATTTCTGTACCAAAACAATAAATTCTACCAATTCATCAAGCAAAAATATAAAAAGGGAACAAACCCAAGAAAGTGATCTAGAGACAAATGCGGGGTGGGGAGGCAATTAATAAAAAGATGAAAAAGATTTCTTAAAGCAAGCTGAACAGTATAACTCTGCTGACTGATGTCTTTAGGGTAAAAATGACGGCAATGTAAAGAGCCACCAAGAAGTTATCACCATTAGATAATCTGAACATTGGAGATACTTGGGAAGAACCTCTGAAGTTCCAATCTAGCTTTATCAAACACCTACAGCATTCTCAAACATTCGGGGTTGTGAGAAATCCAGATAGAACCTGCACTGCCAGAACATGCTTATTTCATCTTGGAATAAAAGCACCACATGCAGAATGATGACAAATAATTGCATTTAACATATTGTCCACTCTAAGAAATGAAGATGTAAGAGAGTTGGGGCAAAGCAATATACAAGAGAAAAAAGAGGTAACATTTTCTCATGCGACTCAAGACAATTTTAATAGGCCATTTTTAAGCAGTATATAACAAATAACCACTGCTGGTATCAATCAGATAAACCAAGACGTGGTCCACAATGCTCTCACAAAGAAGGGTCTACCAGCACAATGATGTAACTAGTTCAAAATAATCAGATTTTTACGAAATGATATTTTGTACATTAGATTTAAAGAAGTTGGATTTGATGTATCACTCTTACATTCCACTAATATACCTTTATTCTTCTTGGAACCAACAGGAAATGATGCGGTTGTAAGTTGATCGGCGGTAACTGTGATGGTATTTTCTATCCCAGGGATAGTTGAATCCAATGAACCAGAGTCAGTCTGTACCTTATCACGTTTACGTTGCTGTCGTTTTTCTCTGTGACTAATTTTAGTTTCCCAGGCTCCTGACATAGCCCCAGAAAAAAAAATGTTATTCAGTAAGGGGAAAACAAAAAAGTTGTAGTGTTGTGTTGTGTGTGGGGTTTTTTTTGCATTTTTTGGGGGGTTGGGGGAGAAAAAGGGGAATGGAGCAGTGCACACAGATAGCATGATAAATTTAGATATTAACTGTTATTTAATAGGAGTGCTGATTATAACAATTTATCCTAAGATTTATTCTAATCTCAATATATTGTTTTAGGCAGCTAATTGACATTATTTATTCTCATAATTTTTATCAAATCTATCTCCTATAGCTTAGAAAAAAATGACACAGAAGTCATCTTGTATATTTTTCTTTTGCTCAATAGAACTGATAGGAGAGTGTTATACATAACTACTAATAAATGGGCTTATTAGGCAATAACAATAAATGCTCATTCAAAAAAATCGTGCACAGCCTTCTAGGGATAGCATATTTAAGAACAATGAGGGAAAACCTAAACTATATCTAGAAAACAAAGTCAAAACAAATGGATTTTTAATTGCTCAAGATATTGAGTTAGACCTTAAGTTTTAAGACAGTTCCTTTTAGGAAAAGCACTGTTAGATCCTTAATTTAGATAAAAAAGTGTTTCCTAACAATGTCATAGATCTGTACATTAAGATCTATAGTCATTAAAAAAAAAGAGCTAGATACAAGATTAAACAAAACAAACGCAACTTTAATATAATGCACCTTGGTAAAAAAAAAAAAAAAAAAAAAAAAAATTAAATTTTTTTTCTATAGTCCTTTCACTTGCTCAAGTACCTTCATCAACTTCCTTCCCATCATGGCGTGAACTGTTTTGTACTGCTTTAGCATCTGACTTTGATTTCTTCTTATTTTTCTTTGACTGAAAGTAAAATAAAATGTTACTTAATATTTCATGTTTTGAAAAGGTATGATACTGGCAATCAAAAAGATTAATGTTTGATCTAAAAAATTAACATACTAAAATGGCAATAATACAAGGTTATCATTTATTGAGTAGTTACTAAATGCTAAGTATTTTACACTACTTTTTTTATTCCTTAAAAAAACTCAATGGAAAAGGTATCATTCCTATTTTAGAGATGAAAAAATGAAGACTTAGAGATGTTAAATATTAAAGAGACTGTACTGGGTCACACAGTAAATCGTCGAGTAAAATTTGCAAATAGGTCTATCTGGCTCCAAAGTCTGTGCCCTCAGACATCATGCTATCCTAATTTAAATAATAAATAAAATGCTATAATTTGGTGTTTTTAAAGCATTAAAATAAAAACCTAATGCCAGTGTTCAGAAGAAAAATGATGTCCGATTAATGGGTTTGGATTTCATAAAGACTGTTGGCATACCCTATGTATAACAAATTGAGTCAATTGTACAAAGTAGGTAATATTTTGTCAGTTTAAAAGCAATGTGCAGCCGTAACCAGTTTGGCTCAGTGGATAGAGCATCGGCCTGCATGCAGACTAAAAGGTCCCAGGTTCGATTCCAGTCAAGGGCATGTACCTGAGTTGCAGACACATCCCCAATAAGTGTGAAAGAGGCAGCTGATCGATGTTTCTCTCTCATCGATGTTTCTAACTCTATCTCCCTTCCTCTCTGTAAAAAATCAATAAAATATATTTTAAAAAATAAAAGCAATGTGCAAATACCTAGAATTTGTATATACAGGGTGGGGCAAAAGTAGGCTTACAGTTGTTCATATGGAAAATCTATCTATATAATCGAGGAATATGCAAATTAGTCAGGATGCCATAATGTCTCGACTGAACAGCAGGGACCTGAAGCTACATGGCGCCTGGCCGGAGTGAGGGGGCTTGACAAGGGACCTCAGGCCATGCCCTCCTGCCCAGCCAGGCCGGTGGACCTGAGTTCTCTTACCCTCCCCCCAGGGGCTTGACAGGGGTGGGGCCAGCAGGGTTTGGGTCTCCTGTGCTTTCGAAGCGCATGTGGGTAGTGGGCGGGGTCTTGACTCTAGGTCCCACAGTGCACCCCAGACTCTGACAGGAGGGAGATTTTTATGTACATTTTACTAATTTTCTTTCACCTCTGACACTTCTATTATAGAGAAAGGGCAAACAGCAATATTAAAATATTTCCTTTAATTAAATCTCTTTGAATGTGCATAAATTTCATGCACTGGGCCACTAGTAATACAATAATAAAGAATACAAGAAATTAACTGTGTTTTGTATAATCATAACTGTAAACCTACTTTGCCACAACCTGTAGCAGATGCTTAATAATTCATTTAAGAAAAAACACACAAGACACGGACGTTTTGGAATGGCCTGCCAACTCCCTTCTGCTAATATTTTCTTATTTCAAAAGCTTACTAATAAACTTCTAAAAGCCACAATTTCTATATTTAGATTGTTTCCAGAAAATTAGTAGACATAAGTGATGTTATTTATACTTTGCATTCACTCATTTATCTATTAAGATTAACTGTGTGCATATTGTTGCATACTGTCTTAAAGTTTTTAACTAAAAAGAGATTGTATCTTCTTAAGTCTTTTTTATGAGTAATCAGTAAAAAGACTGAGTAAGGCAAGAAATGACATCTAACTGCTTTTTCTATCAATAAACTACTTGCAAATATTCTCAAGTAACATGACCTCTTAAAGGTGATTAAAAATTATCTTTGATAATGGGAGCATATAAAAATTATTAAATTTTGTTTACATTCCCCATAGTTCACTTGTATTTGTTTTATTGTATGTTTTTATTATCATTAATATGTATCATGTATAATGTCCTATTTTATCATGTCTACCAAACCAGATTCATATTCACTTTTTAAAAATTAAGATATCAGAAGTTGCATAACTACCATCATTATACAATCCAGAACATTTTCATCATCTCAAAAAAGAAATGTGACACCCAATAGCAGTCCCTCCTTGCCACCTTTTCCCCAGTGGCACCCACCATGAATCTTCTGATGGTTTCTGATATCCACTCTTAAGTAAAGATAGCAACACTGAGCATCTGTCAATACACAGTCTAGAGTAGTGGTTCCCAACGTGGGCCAATTTGATTTTTAGGAGGGGCAATTTGAGAATGAGTTATTAACAGTGAATTTTTTGCATTTCTTATGGTTATAGGGGCCTCATATACAGTATATAAATATATATCCTATATAATAAAGAGCTAATATGCTAGATGGTGGAAGGACCTTCTGGAATGACCAGTGGGTGAATGGGGGAGGGGCCTCAAGGGCCAAGCCCTTCACACTAATTTCATGCATTGGGCCTCTAGTTGTGACATATTTATGCATTTCAATTCTCTGTTATATGTTTTGAAACTTTATTTGCTATTTTTCATATCATCTATTATTATTATTTCTTTAACAATTTCTTAAGTGATTTCTTCCTCATTACTTTAACTGTCCTTTCATTCTTTTATTTTCCTCTTTCACTGATGCCATGTTCTTTGGAAGCTTGTTTAGCCTAAGTTAATGGCCTTTTAGGCCTCTTCCATGTGAAGAGGAGTTCACTTTTTGAATAATAAGAATTACATGTCATTGGGGGGGGGGGGATCAGGATTTTAGAGATGCTTAGATGGGGCATGGCCAAAAAAAAAAAAAAAAAAAAAAAAAAGGCTGGGACCACTGGTCTAGAGAATGGGTTTGCAAACTTTTTCTATAAAAACAGTAAATATTTTAGACTTTGTAGACCATATGATTATACATGTAGCAACCACACAACCCTGCCACTGTAGCATGAAAGTAGCCATCTACAGTATATAACTGAATGGGTGTGACTGTGTTCCAATAAAATATTAACAAAAATAGACACCTGGCTTGATTTGGAGAGTTGGGAGTTTGTCAACCCCTGATCTGGAGCAGTACTGACCAATAGAAGCACATATGTAATTTAAAATTTTCTAAGACACGTGTTGAAAAGTAAAGAGAAATAGATAACATTAATTTTAATAAAACATTTATCCCAACACATCCAAAGTACTATCATTTTGAAATTTAATCAGTAAAAAAACACATCTAATAAGAGTAAGAGCAGCCAAAACCGGTTTGGCTCAGTGGATAGAGCGTCGGCCTACGGACTGAAAGGTCCCAGGTTCGATTCCGGTCAAGGGCATGTACGTTGGTTGTGGGCACATCCCCAGTGGGGGGTGTGCAGGAGGCAGCTGGTCGATGTTTCTCTCATCATCGATGTTTCTAGCTCTCTATCCCTCTCCCTTCTTCTCTGTGAAAAATCAATAAAATATATTAAAAAAAAAAAAAAAAAAGAAAAAGAGTAAGAGCAAGACTGCTTAAACAGCCACATGTGGCAAGTGGCTACCATACTGGACAATGCAAAACTATAGGAACTAACTAAAAGTGGTACTCCATTTTACTGATAAGAAAACTGAGGCCATAAAGCAGTAGTTCTCAACCTTTCTAATGCTGTGACCCTTTAATACGGCTCCTCATGTTCATAATGTAAATATCTGTGTTTTCCGGTGGTCTTAGGTGACCCTGCTAGCGGTTCTCAACCTGTAGAGCCTAAGACCATCGGAAAACACAGATATTTACATTATGATTCATTAACAGTAGCAAAATTACAGTTATGAAGTAGCAACGACAATAATTTTATGGTGGGGGGTCACCACAACATGAGGAGCTGTATTAAAGAGTCACGGCATTAGAAAGGTTGAGAACCACTGCCATAGGGACATATACATTGGCTAAGATCATAGGGTTTATTAAGTGGCAAATTCAGGACTAACATCCAGTTCTTACTCCAGAGTCTGCTCTTACAAATACTCTGCTATTCTCTTTCTATATTTAACTCCAATACAAATTTAATCATGCATTAAGTACATGATTTGGGGCTAACTCACTCTAAACCCTTTTTCCCAACTGTCATTTGGGACAAAAATTCCTACTAACTTCACATAATAAGTTTCTTTTATAGATTAAATAGATATGAAAGCAGATTGTTAGGAAACTATATAAAAAGAATAGAAATTACATTCACACTGACATGTACTGTGATTTGTCACTAAAATATGCAGAAGAACAAAAAATTATCTTTGTTTAGGCTTCAGTCTTATTTGATTTTACTATTATTTTTAAAAGTAGCTAATTAAACAAAATACTCAGAAGAGACTTAATAACATATTATTAAAAGCTTTAAATAAACATGCATACATACTACTACTTTGTTCCAGCCATCCAACTGAAGTGAATGTCTTACTTCTGAGCAGCTCTACAACAATACTATTGAAAGACAACTGGGAATACACACACGCTTCTGGCTTCCTTGTTATCATAATTCGGCCTCCAGCTCTCAACTCCAATTTATTGACAGGCTCCACTAAGAATCCGGGTGGATTACTATGATAAACTAGTCTCTCCTGAATGGTCTCCAGACAATCAAGATTTATTAAATACCTACTATATGCCAGACATTGTTTTAGGAACTCAGTATAGAGAACTGAAAAAAAGTCTCTACTTATGGAAATTGTGCTATAATCGAATAGGATAAATGGACATGTAAATGAGATATTAGGAGAAATTCTTATCCTCAAGGGCTTCCCTTCCAATGCTCATCTCCCAATATATCTACCCCAGTCCAATTAGCTAACATTCCCTACCAGCTAACACGCCATTAATCATGTCCTTATATGACATTTAAGTTCTTCCACAAACTAATCTCAACCTGTAGTCTTTTATTCACACACATAACCACTTGGATCCAACAAGACTGTCACCTGGAAACATGCCTGTCTTTGCCCAAGCTGCACTGACGGTGGATTTCTGTTAAAATAGTGCTGTAGCCAGGGTGCAGGATGATTGGATTGGCCCCTGAACCATCTCTTCCCGTACTGATGTCCAACCCACGAAACGATCTTTTCCTT